ATCAAAACTCTCATGAGTAACCATAAAGCTTCTCTAGTTTAAAGCCATCCTCCGTCACACAGCCTGGCGAGTATCATCCCAGGCATTCTTCTTTTTCCAATCAACGATGAAATGCTCACCTCCTTAAAATGAGCCTTCTGTTCCTCCTTCTCCTTCCAGCTGTTCAAATCTCGCTCGCCCCACCTCTCCATGGTCCGCCGTGTGTCAGTGACTGCATCCTCCTGCCAATTCCTCCGTTCAACATAGTAACTTGAAAAATCAGCGTGTGAATATATACACAAGATTAACTACATGTGTTGGTGAAAAATATAGACATTTTCAGGAATTTTTGGAAAATTATCGTTGGTTTTTCTTCATTTCTATCGGAAATCGCGTGTGTGGATTTCATAACATAACGAGGGAACCTACGAGTTCAGTCTCGGAAACCAAACGTATATTCCCGCAATGCCAAACATACTCCTTCAACCTAGCGAACTGCCGAGAAGATCTACATGGAATCTTTGCTGTGCGCAGCGGCGGCGGCAGCAGTAGCAGCAGCCTTTTCCCCAGCTGCAGTATCCATGGCTTCCTGACGCGCCTGGGCCTTCCGAGTGCTCTTCCTTCCGACTCTCTTAGACTTAACCGGCTCCTCCTGAATAAAGAGCCAAGACACAAGTGCGGCTCACATTCTCCAACAATTTATATTCTCGATCTCGACAGAAAAACGAGAAAAATGGCGAAAAGTTCTGGATTTTACGTAAAGTTCATCAACTCGCAGAGCAAACGAGTCTCATTATCAAATGAGAGTATAAGTGTTCGTGTTTCTCGACTGTTGTCCTTCGTGGTAAATCTGGAACGGCTACCACCTGCCAAAATTGTGCAGAACAAGCAGTGTTGGAATACATGTTCACTTTCCTCGGCTGATTCCAGGAATTTCCTCACTACATAATGAAATCTCCACACTAATTCAGATAGAATTGTGCATAAACCAATACGAATTTTCCATAATTTTCATACTCTCGCCAGTTGACCATGTGCATATTCTCTCACAAAATAGACTCTAAACCGACCGTTCCTACCTCAGCCTTCTGCTCTGGCTCCACCACTATGCTATGCGGCGTGCCCGAAGCCAGCTTAGCCAGGCGTATCCTTTCTGCTTTCAACTTCTCCTTAGTCTCTTGTTCCGCCAATTCGAAGTCTCTCATTTGCTTATAGTTCGGGACCGAACCTGCAAAATCAATACCCCAACAAACTTCAGCCAAGATGGTCACGATGATCCA